AGGGAGGAAGGAAGGAAGGAAGGAAGGAAGGAAGGAAGGAAGGAAGGAAGGAAGGAAGGAAGGAAGGGACTACCCATTGAGTACTGTGCTTACCACCTGGATGATGATGGGCTCAGTAGAAGCCCAAACCTGCCCATCATGTAATATACTATGTAGCAAACCTGCATATGTACCCCTTGAATCTAAAATAAAAATAAATCCCAAGATATGGATAATAGTGGGAAAAAACTGAATGCATATAAAGAGAGAAAACCTCCCAATTTTATGAAAAGTATCAATTCCTTAATACCTGATAAAGATGGGACCACAACAATCCTTTAATATCATTCATGGAAATATTCTGTTTTTAAAAGTTAGCAAATTAAAATCAAGCTTAGGTTATCCTAGAAATATAAGGATAGTTTGCATTATGAAATCTCTCATGATGTTTTGATACAATAGAAGAAAGGAGAAAAATTGTTTAATTATATTCACTGATGCTGAAACACATTTGATATAATTCAGTAGACATTCCTAATAAAAACCAGAAGTTAATTAGGAATAGCAGAAAGAATCCACCATGTTACCAAACCAACAAAAGCATCATGGTAGATGGTGACTACTGAATGATTATGTTATAAATGTCTGGCACTATTGTTACTCAACTGCCACGACTCAACACCACTTTAGAAGTCCAGAGAATGCTAACACTGAATTGTACCCCACATCTTTAAAATAAAAAAAATTTAAAACATTAAAAAGATCAAGCAAATATACCTGTAAAAAAAAAAAAAAAAAAAAAAAAGAAGTTCGGGAATGCAGTAATAAAAGAAATTGGAGTGAGTTGTATAAATATTGCAGATGATATGACAGGCGCTATGTAAAATCTTCTAGAATTCTATGAGAATTTGGTAAGATAACTGATCAAAAGATAATGAACAAAACCCAGCTGTTTTATTTGAATTAATAACTGGCTAGAAATACAAATAGAAAAATTCCTATTTGAAAGAGTGACAGATGAAAGTATCTAGGAGTAAGTTAGTAAGACATAAGACAGATCCATTAAAATATAACATTTAGGAAGTAAAGAGCTATACCATATTTTTGAATGAGAAAACTTAAAATTCTAAAGGTAACAGTTCTTCTTAAATTAGTATATATAACCCCAATCATAATCCCAACTTGGAGGATAAAATTGTTGTCAGGTAAATCAATGTGATTTTAAAGTCTATATAAAAAATATAAATGAGAAAATTGCCAAACTTAAATGAAAATTTGTTATTATAGGGAATTTGGACCAGTAGATGTCAAAACATACAGTCTTGTTACTGCATTTAAAACAGTGTGATGTTAGCCTGGGCCCGGTGGCTTATGCCTGGTAATCCCAGCACTTTGGGAAACCAAGGCAGGCAGATTTGCTTGAGCCTAGAAATTTGAAGACAGCCTGGGCAATGAAGCGAGAACCTGTCTCAACAAAAAATAGAAAAATTAGCTGGGCATGATGGTGCACACCTGTAGTCCCAGCTACTTAGGATGCTGAGGCAGGATTGCTCGAGCCCAGGAGTTCGAGGCTGCAGTGAGCCATGATCATGCCACCACTCCAGCTTGGGGAACAAGGGAAACCACAAATAAGTCTTTGAAACAGAGTAGACTCCATAAATAGATTGAGGTATACAGTAAAACTTAATGAATGCTAAAGGTGGCATGTCTTTCCAGTAAGGAAAAGTTTATAAATGATTTGGGGGCAATTTGTTCACCTGTGGAAAGATTCTATTTGGTTTAGATTCTATTTCGAGTAAAGATCTAATGTTAAAAATGGAGCTATAAAAATATTTGAAGAAAATGTGAGAGAATACATGAATAACGTATATGAGGGTGCTCTCTTTCATAACCCAAAATCTATAAAGGGAGTATTAAAGACAGTAAATTTACAGTCAATAAAGGAAAAATGGGCAAATATGACTGTAAATATTTTAAATGTCTATATGACAAGGCACTATAAACAAAGCCAAAAGAGGAACAATAGCTTGCAACCCATATGACAGAGTTCATATTTATATACTAAGAGATCTTATACATTGATGATTTTTTTAAAAAAGATAAACAGCCTAGTGTAAACATAGGCAAAGGGCAAGAACTGGAAATGTAAATTACCAATAAGCCTGTGAAAAAGATCAGTCCCATTATGAGAGAAGGTGAATCAAAACAACTGAAATGCTGTTGTGTGCCTATTACATGAGCAGTTTTAAAGATCAAACAGTTTTGCCGGGCACAGTGGCTCAAGCCTATAATCCCAGCACTTTGGGAAGCCAAAGTGGGAGGATTGCTTGAGCCCTGGGATTCGAGACTAGCCTGGGCAACTTGGCGAGACCTTGTCTCTAAAATAAATAAATAAATTAGCTGGGCATGGTAGCATGCTCCTGTAGTTCCAGCTACTTGGAAGGCCGAGGCAGAAGGATTGCCTGAGCCCAACAGGTCAAGGCTGCAGTGGCTGTGAGACTGCCACTGCACTCCAGCCTGGGTGACCCGGTGAGGCTTCAACGCAAAAAAAAAAAAAAAAAGATCAAACAGTTTTAAAGATGGCCAACATCCAGTGCTGATCAATGTGTCAGTAAACAAACTCTCTTCATGCACTGTTGGGCTGATTTTTTCAACTTTTTCACAGAAAGTAACACAGCAATAGTTGTTCAAGTAGCTAATGTGCTTATCAGGTTTGGCCCCACATTTCCACTTCTAGGATACTTTTCCACAGAAATAAAGTACTAGAATATTAAAGATGTTTGAGTAAAGCTGTCTGTTCCTGCTCTGGTTTATGGTAGCCAAACTTGGAAACAGTGTGAATGTTCATCCACAAGGGAGTGGCTGGGTAGAAGGATGGTATGTTCATTTTGTGGAATATTATGCAGTTAATTCTAACTGAGGTAGATATATAGATTTGAAAAAACTCTCTAAAATATGCTGGTATGAGCAAGTGGCAGAAATAAGTGTGTGTGTGTGTGTGTGTGTGTGTGTGTGTGTGTGTGTGTGTGAACAAGCATAGGGAAGATTTTGAAAGGCTATGCAACAAACTGTTAATATTGGTTATCTGGAGAGGTGGAATAAGGATGAGACCTGATTAATGTTTACTCTAACTCTTGGCATTTCTAAATTGATTACAATGAGCAAGTATCTTTTCTGGATAAAACATAATTATAGCAATAGAGCTTTATTGAACTGTTCTTTGAAGTTGTGTCATCTAATCATCCCTTATGTAAATCACAGTTGGTTATCATAGAGATAATATTGAAAAATTGTCCAAATATCTTGTGGATTCTCTTCTATGAAGACCTGTGAGAGAAATTTGTACTCCAGCCTCAGTCCCTAGATACTAGTGATTCATTTGAGCAGCTTGGTTTGCTTTCATTTTCTGGACATTGGACACTGATCATGTCTTTCTTTGCTGTGGAGGTTAGAAATATTAGAGTCAAGTTGGAGACTGTACAGTTTATTCATCCAGGTCATGAGCTTATGTTCTGTGCACAGCCCTTACTGTTGGAATCATCTTGTTCCCCACCCTTATTTTGTCTTCCTTTATTTTGATTTTAACTGATTATATTTTATGTATTCCTATAGCCATCTCCAGTCCTTTCCAGGAAATGAGGGAGGGATACGATTAAATAATGACCAGAGATTTCTATTTTAACAGGAACCTGGGAAAGAAAACAATCTCAACAATGAATAGGTTACCCATCACCACCAACTACAGATGACTTACCATTTCATTTACAAAGGTAAGGAAACAGTCTATATTTTAAGTTAATTCTGACTAACCAAGTATAGAGCCCTTACCTTTTATTATATATTTATTTACAATTACTCTAAAAATATATATATTAATATATATATAACATATATCTAGTTTATAACCTTTAGCTTTGACATTATCAAATTTAAAACAAACCAAGCAAACAGAAATAGGAAATTTTGTGAATGTTGACAATGCCAGAAGGGGAAAAAAATCAAGAGGTATGGTCTCTGCTATTAATTACTGTGTGTGGTTAAATTTCTAAATAGCATTCGTATTTTCCTTATTTTTAAATGTAGTGGTATTCACTGCAGACTACTTGGAGAATATAGCAAAATATAAAAGGGAAAACCTAAGGCATTTATAATCCCATCATCATAATCACCAGAACATCTGAGAATGTCTTTCCTTCTTCCTTTTATTTGTATATAGAAATATATATGATTATAATATTTTCAAAAATGATATTTTAAATTCATACCTACCTTGGCTCCCATAATTACAGATGCTGTACCTTAAGTGGTGCAGAAGCATAACAAGTTCAGCAACAAGTAGTAATCATCACTGTGACCATTGTAACAGTCCTTTGCAGTTTCCAATACAAGGGGGGAGCCAAAAAAACCCAGATTTACTTTTTGGAGGATGGGTCCCTTGTAGAACAGGCTTCCCCCACTGGGTAAGCGTTCTAGGAACCCAGTCAGCATCAGCATTGTTGTGAGAGGCTGTGTTCAGCTTCAATGAATTTTTTTTGGCGAGTCTTTCATCGCATTTGCCCATTTGATGACAGGTGATTAACTAGTGCACCTGCCCACACCACGCTGAGTGTTCAGAAGTTTTTGACCAAAAATTGCACGACCTCCATGCCCCATCCTGCCTATTCACCCGATCTCGCCCCTGCAATTTTTTTATTTGTTTCCCTGGATGAAAAAAGTCCTCAAAGGGAAAACTTTTGCCTATGTGAAAGAAGTGAAACAAAAAAATGGCAGAAGCACTAAAAGGCATCAAAATTGACAAGTTCAAAAACTGTTTTGAGCAGTGGTAAAAGCATCTCAGTAGGTATATTATGTCAAATGGAGAGTACTTTGAAGGTGACTGACGTTTAAGCATGTAGGAATAAATACACAATTTTTAATAAATAAATTCTGGGTTTTTTGGGGTCCCTCCTCTTACATCCCAGACCTCTCATTCGCCTCTCCTACATGTCCTCTCCTACTCAGATGTCCCTAATTAATAGGTTCATGTGACTGTTGTTAAACATCACTATACAGACAAAAGCCTTTGAATCAAGATGATAGTTCATGGCCTTCCTTTATCATTATTATCTATGTTATGCTACTTAAAAGGAATGGATTTTTAAAAATAGAAGTTTACCCATTTCTCCTCTTCCCTACTGTCAAGTCAAGGATGATTCACAAAGTAATAAAAAATACTTTCGGATCATCTCATCAGCCTTCCTTCATTGATGCCAATTAGTCAAACTCTCATTAAGGTTACTTTTTTACTCTATACAGTTGTTCTTAAAGTGTTTTGGTCTTGAAAGCCACAAAGTCTTAAAAGTAAAATTGCTAGAATGGGAGGTCTTCAATTTTTGGCTCTATTAAACAGTTATAGGTTTGGTTTTTTTTACCCTGAGCGTGATATTACAAAATCTTTCAGGCATTTTAATTCCTCTAGTATTTTATTCAAAACTCACCTAAATACTATTGTAAAGAGACTAGAAAAAAATCAATTATTCTTTAAATGAATTAAGCAGATAGAGTATGGGAAGCAATCGTTTGTGAACCATCTGTCCTTGAAGACTCTATTCTTTTTTTTAATCCCTGTCGCCCAGGCTGGAGTGCAGTGGCACACTCATGGCCACCCCAGCATCTACCCGCTGGGTTCAGGCAAATCTTTCTGCCTCAGCCTTCCAAGTAGCCAGAACTACAGGCTCGTGCTACCACTCCTGGCTACTTTTTTAGAGATGAGATCTTACCAGGTTGCCCAGGCTGGTCTTGTATCCATGGGCAGTCCCCTCACCTCAGCCTCTCAAAGTGCTGGGATTACAGGCTTGAGCTACCTTACCCACTCAGGACTCTATTCTAATGTGGACAAGTTAAATGGGTACAAATAGAGTTGAAAAATTGTGTAAGAGGTGATTTGATTGGTGGGTAGTAATAGATCTGGTGAGGTTGACGTGTCACAGTTTGTGCTTTCATTTTCTTGGTTTTTAGTCACGTCAAGCTCATGGCTGTGTGAATAAACTCAGTCATTTAGTTCCACTGAAGAGAAATGACTGGCAAATTCTTAGGTTTAGCAGGAGCTGTGTTTATTAAAAACCCATGATTTAAAGCATGCTCCAAAGGCTTATAAAAACAGTCAGAAGTTTTATCCCTCCTTGGCGTACTTATTTTATTTTTATTTTTTTTTTATTTTACTTATTTGTTTATTTTTTGTTAGAACCTCACTCTGTCACCCGGGCTGGAGTATGGTGGCATAATCACAACTCACAGCAGCCTCAGCCTCCTGGGCTCAACAATCCTCCCACGTAAGCCTCCTGAGTATCTGGGACTACAGGCAAGCACCATCATGCCCAGCTAATTCTTTGATTTTTTTTTGTAGAGATGAGGTCTCATTATGTTGCCTAGGCTGGTCTCGAACTCCTGGGCTCAAGCAACTCTCTCACCTTGGCCTTCCAAAGTGCTAGGATTACAGGCATGAGCCATCGTGCCTGGCCTCCTTGGTGTATTCAGTGCTCTTCATGCAATTTAAAGTAAGGTCCTTAAATATTGTGGTTCCCTAATTTTAAAATTACCTTTGGTTAGTGAAGAAGAAACTGGCTTTATTTAAATAGTTCAGAATGAAAGGTTAAGAGTGAAAATTTTATCATTAAAAAGAGAAAGACACACGTGTTTGAACACCTTATCTCCCAGTGAGAAATGATATTTTATCAGAGAGCATTAGAAGAAATCACAAAGATAGTCAATAGTTTTGAGTATGTAAAAAAAGTAAAACTTCTTTATATCATAAAACAAATTAAAAGGCACACGGCAACATGAAAAAAATATTGATAGCGTGCTTGCAAGTGATTAATAACCTTAAAACATAAAAATCAATATGAAAATCTCTAATATTAATAACTATAATAGGTAAAAATTAATAAGTAAAACACAAAAACTCCAATAGATAAACGGGCAAAACAATGAAAAACTCAAAAGAAGAAATACAAAGAACTAAAAGAAAAGTATGAAAACAATGTTAGCCTTCACTGGTAATTTCCAAAGAGGCAAATTAAAATCAGGAATGCTTTCTTTTACCTGTCAAATTAGCAAAGAAACATAAGGTAATAATAGTCATTGCTTAGTGTAGAATGAAACGAGCTCCCACTCACTGCTGTTAATAGAATAAATGAGTATATTCTTCTAGAAAAAATTTACTAATATGTAGAAGGGTTTAAAATTTTTAATACCCTTATATGCCCCAGTCATTCTAGTCCAAGAAAACATTGAAGTTGGATAAAGATATAAACAAAAATAATTATTTGTGTACTATTTGCAAGAGCAAAACTCTTGAACTGCCTTATATATTTTTCAATATTAGCATTAACTAAAGTATTAACACACAAGGGTGTTCACATAGTGGTATATCTTACAAATAGAATAATTATTATTCTTACAATCAGATGTTTGTAATCAGATGGAAAAATGCTTACTATATAAATGTTCAGTGAAAGATATAAGATAAGATGGTATTATATGTTTCATATGAAAATGCATAGAGCAAACGGTAGAAACAAGTATGCTAAAATGTGAATAGTGGAGTTGCCCAAAGGCAGTAAAATTAAGAGTAATTTTTTTGTTCTGATTCACATTTTTTTGGTACTTTCCAGACATTTTTACAGTAAGCATTTATAACCAGAAGAAAAGTTTTTAAAAAGACTTTGTAGAAAGAAACATGTACACATGATATGGGCCTAGATTTCCATGGCATCTTTCTTAGAGCATATGGAATAAAGTGTACTACCACTGTAATTTAGAAGTAAAGATTTATTTTGGAAAGATCAGGATACACAGGGTTTTTTTTAAGTATTCTGAAATTCTCTTTCTTCCTTTCTTAGAAACAACAGCAGCAACAACAACAAAAACACAGTTAACCAAAACAGATCCTTTAGTTTAAAGTATTATTAATATTTTGTACTTCAGAGTAGAAGTCAAAATCAAATGGGAATGTTTTTTTCTTGCAGATGTCGTCTGCTGCTGAAAATGGAGATGCAGCTCCTGGAAAACAAAATGAAGAAAAAACCTATAAAAAGGTAAGTGAGGGTTTCATTTTCTTTCTGCAACTCAGAAAGAGGAATACTATTTTGCTATCTAGCATGTTAATATTGTCATAGGCCTTTTCTTCCTCCAAAGTAGTTGTAGGTTAACTATCTTAGTTTCTGTTACTGCTATATCCTATTACCACCAATTGAATGGCTTAAACACACAGATGTATTATCTTACAGTTCTGTAGGTCAGAAGTCTGACATGTGTCTCACTGGGCTAAGATCAAAGTGGCTACAGAGCTGCTTTCCTTTCTGGAGGCTTTGGGGAGAGTCCATTTCTTTGCCTTTTTTAGCTTCTAGAGGTTGTCCACTTTTCCTGTGCCATGGCTCCCTTTCATCTTCATAGCCAGCAGTGACTAGTTGAGTCTTTCACAGGCTGTATTGCTCTGACACTTTAAAAGGACTGTGTGATTGCCTTGAGCCTTCTGAGGCTCATAGCAACATAAAAAAATCTTAATTACATTTAATATTCCTTATCTACGCAGGGTGCAGTGGCTCACACCTACAATCCTAGCATTTTGGGAGGCCAAAGCGGGAGGATTGCTTGAGCCCAGGAGTTCAAGACCAACCTGGGCAATGTATCCAGACCTACAAAAAAAATTTTTTTTTAATTAGCCTGGTATGGTGGTATGCACTTGTAGTCCCAGCTACTAGGGAGGCTGAGGCTGAGGCAGAAGGATCGCCTGAGCCCAGGATGTCGAGGCTGCAATGAACCATGATTGTGCCACTGCACTGTAGCCTGAGTGATAGAGTGAGACTCTAACCACCTCCCCCCACAAAATATATATATTTTTTCTTTATCTTAAGGTCAGCTGATTAGCAACCTTAATTTCCTCTGCAACCTTAATGAACTTCGTGTTGCCTTATACCATAACATAATTACAGATCCTGAGGATTAGGCAGGGGCATCTTTGGGGACCATTTTTTCACCTACCACAATTAACAGAATACAGAATATTGAGTGAAAGTAGTTATCTTATAATTATTCCTAAAAAGAAGGCTTTTAAGGTTATGCAGTGTTCTATGTACAGTATATGAATCGTTTAATTGATTCTTTACTTTCCACCAAAATTTTAAACATTTTCTGCCTTTGTATTTTAAAAAATTTAAATGTTCCTTCTCCCTCTCCCCTTTTTTAAGCCTCTCAGACTTTATGACTTCAGCCCATTTCCCAAACTACCCAGTGTGTTTTACCTTATCCTTCTTTGACTTTGATAAATTCTTGGCTCTTAGCAACCAAGCTAATGTTCAAACACATTACTTGGTAAAATATGTTACCAAGCACCGCTACTCCTTACTGTACATTTTAACTTTTAAAAGTTCTTGCTCTTTTATGCTCTTGGGAGTAGGTTTGTGTGTTGAAGGTTTATTATATTTTAACTTTTCATTTTCTTTTTATACTTTGATGGATAGCCAGTGAGAAGCTTATTTATAAAGTACATGAACTATCTGATCTAAACACATATCCAGGGCATGGAACTAACATGGTATATTTTCTGTCTTGTTCTCATGTGGGGAGTATGTCTTCTTCCTGGTATACCTTTTTTTTTTTTTTTTTTGAGTTGGAGTCTCACTCTGTAGCACAGACTGGAGTGCAGTGGCTGCTCCCAGCCACCGCAGCCTCGAACTGCTGGGCTCCGGCGATCCTTCCGCCTCAGCCTTCCAAGTAGCTGGAATTACAGGCCTGCGCTATCACGCCCAGCTGATTTTTTGATTTATTGTAGAGATGAGGTCGCTGCCCAGGCGGGTTGCGAACCCGCGGGCTCAGGCAATCCACTCACCTCAGCCTCCCAAAGGTGCGGGATTACAGGCTGAGCCACTGAGCCCGGCTACTGGTATAGCTTTTTATCTGACTTTTCCACTCAGGCAGCCCTCAAAATGTAAACAGAGAGGTTGTCATGCAAAGTGATGGCAAGGTTGGAGAAGAGTAGGGTGAAGATTCAAGAGCTCAGACGTGTTATGTTATATTTTATAAAATGTGTGCATCTGGCCAAAGGCAGCAATACACTTTATTTTTAGACACAGGTGGAAAACCAAATCCTATCTCGTTTACCCAAGACTTCTTGTACATTTAGTCAAGCATGAAACCAACATAGAGATGATTAAATTGCCTATGATTATTTCAGATCAGTTTCAGGCAGTGTTCTCAATCAGCATCAAGATACACTGAGATTCTTAACTGAATTCTGACCTACAGGAGCTCCTTCATGATGCAAAAGTAATAGAAAAAAAGTGATCGTGACTTCTTGGAGTTGCTAAGTGTGTGCCTTGCCCAAAAGTTTAGTAAAGCAAGTTTTCAAGAATATTATAGGTATGATTTTATAATTAATGTCCCTTTCAGGATACTTGACTCAGTAATGTTGGGAAGGTTATACAAACTGAAAATCATGGTATCTCCCATAAAAATCAAATTCTATTATGGCAAATAATTTTAATAAATAAGAGATGGGAAACTAATGAAAGGAGACTAATGAAAAAAACACCAACCATTTTTTAAAATGTATAATAATATAAGGATCTTTTTAATGATCTCATATTTTAAAAGGAAAAAATGATAGAATGCAAGGAATGTATCTTCTCTTTAAAAAGCACCCCCAAGCCGGGCTCGGTGGCTTAGCCTGTAATCCCGCGCCTTTGGGAGGCTGAGGTGAGTGGATTGCCTGAGCCCGCAGGTTCGAGACCCGCTTGGGCAGCAAGACTTCATCTCGACAATAAATCAAAAAATCAGCCGGGCGTGGTAGCGCATGCCTGTAATTCCAGCTACTCGGAAGGCTGAAGCGGAAGGATCGCTGAAGCCCAGCGGGTCGCGGCTGCGGTGGCCGGGAGCGGCCACTGCACTCCAGTCTGGGCGACTGAGTGAGACTCCAACTCAAAAAAAATAAAAATAAAATAAAAATAAAAAGCACCCCCAAAACAGCACTTTAGCTCTCAGTAAGTATGGTATTGATGTGCTCAGCAAGAGGAGGGATCATTAAGAAAGTATTGCTTTATTAATAGGTAAAATTTAGCTGAATTATTCAATTTAATTCTTCTCTGAACTTCACACTGGAGAAGGTATTAATAGTGGAGTTAGGAGAGGTGGTAATAAGAGGCACATTAACTATTACAAATGTCTTTATCTCCAAGCTCAGATAAACTACCTCCCAGATGAAAGAACTTGAAGGTATATTAGGGAAACTACTGAATGTGGGCTTTGAATGAATTTGAGGATGGAAAAATTGTAAAAAGATAGGACATAAGCAAATCCTATCCCTATTTTCAAGAATGAGGAAAAGGTACATTCTGGAAACCATAGTACAAGTCAAACATTGTTCCCCAGCATCATTTGGGCACTATCATTACACATAGGGTTCATACATATTTAGAGAAGAAATACATGCCTTTTACAAACCTGGAGAGATTCATAAAGATGTAGTTTATGTCAAACTGCATTTCCTACTTTGAAAGAGTCATCAGATTACTCATAGATAAGGAGACTGTTCACAATGAATGGTTCTTGATTTAAAGGCATCTGGAAGATTCTGTGGTATCCTTTTAGACAAGGTGGAGAAGTATGAATTCAATATTATGTTTAGTGTGTTTGTGCCTGGTTGAACTGTTGGTCTCCAACAGTCCCACGGGCAATTTTGTATCCTATTTACCTAGTCTCTACCAGCAAGATACATGAGCTTACCCTGGGTAGCTTAATACTTTCACCATGACCTTAATGAAGCATAAAAGCTGTGCTTTGCAAATGCACAAATGACAATAAACTGGAAATGATAGCAAACAGACTAGATGAGTGTTGCCAAGGCTACCACACATTTCATTAACTATGTCCCTTTACAGATACCTTAAAGTTAAATTTCTTTCCCAGTCCTGAAGCTCTGTCCATGAGGCATGTACCTTTTTAACAGGGAGCTTTGATAACCCATTGTGTTTTTAAAGCCAATCCATGACTGTGACTAAAGCCAACCCACAGATCCCAGGTTAAGAATCCCTGATCTACTGGCCTAGGAATGAGAAAGGAGTTTATAAGCAACTTATGGTTGGGTGGGGGGCGGTAAGACATGAAAACAATTTTCGGACACAGTGTAGTAGTTCACGAAGGGGTGTTCAAAAGAGGGAAAACCAGTATCATTAGAGTTAAGCAGCAGGTTTAGGCTTTTTGTACTGAGCCCCAGATTAATTGGGTAGCTGCCAGCAACACTCACCATCATGAGTGCTATGATTTCCACGTGTTATTAGGGAACACTCAGCTTTCATGGAACAATTTTGTACTCACTGTCTCAATTATTTGCATGTGACTGTTTAGGCTCATTGCTTTTTGTTCTTGCAGCGGACCATTTCCCTAATCCATTATCAACTCTTGGCCAGCCCAGGAAGAAGAGATAAAATTGGTCCATGAGGCTAATGTCTTCAACTAATGGCTAAAATAAGAAGTTTGATTTTAGCTGCTTAAAACAAACATGTTACCCATTAAGGCAGGCATTAAAGGCTGCCTGGCTGTATTTATAGAGTGTAGTATTTCCATTCTCAGTTAATTTATTGAGTGTCTTCCGCGAAAGCTGGAAATGCAGAAGGTTACCAGGGCCAGGTGAGTAAGAAGGGAGTGGAATGACTAGGAGGACCATGGTAAAAAGTATACACACCTTCTTTAAAGGGGGCAGCTGGCACTTCACTCCAGCTAACAAAGCTATGCATGAATGCTTGTCCAGGGTTGCCAGAGACTGTTTTTTTTTTTCAAGAAGCCAGACATAAGAATTTTTAAAAATTTCTAACTTTTATTTTAAAGATGTGGAGTATAGTTCAGAATTTGGTATATAAGTGGTCATTGTACAGGTAAAGTTTGGGTCTCCCTTTGGTCCTCACTTTGCCTGGTTTGAGCCAGACATAAGAATTTTGATGTGTTATCTGCTGATTTTTAAATTTCAGCAACTAATGCAAAAGTGTTTAAAAATATACTCTGGCCAGCCGGGCTCGGTGGCTCAGCCTGTAATCCCGCGCCT